TTTTTTGATGTCAGACCATTCCTAGATAACAAACACTTACCTGAACTATCTGGCTGTACACGCTCGAAGCATGGCTATACGGCGGATGTACGCACTGAAGGAAACCGTCCGCCGATATTGCTATCAATTCGGGCCTGGAACAATCAAACGTAGAGAAGCGGTATTATATTACCCCATAACAGGCATTTTCCAACAAGTTCCTTTGCGCTAAGCCACACGGCCGGCCGGCAGTAAAACCAGATTACGCCCAGCTCCTGCTTGTCTGCGTCCTCTTAACGAGTGGACTCCAGTGGCATCGCTGAGGTGACAGCGCAGACGATGTGAGAATGGGCATGGCCAAGTCTCAGTTATTGCTTCTGCAGCTACCTTACCACCGACATCGTAAGCCCAAACGGCTTCACATACCTCATTCGCACTCTTCCTCTCAAATTTCCACATGCTAGAGCAGTGACTGGAGAACTGCTTTTCGCTGGCATTTTCACCACATCGGTGCTGCCATCGTATTTCATGAAATACACCTGAAAACGACGAATATGCCTCAAAATCCTAGCCGATGGTACTCATCTATCTTGATAGTGGGGAAAATAGCTGCATCGTATGGAGTTTTACGAGGAAATCTCTGTTCCGCCTTCTCGTCTACGTTTTCTATGCTCCCATCGCTTTTCTCCATTTTGAAACTCACTGCGTGAGGCGAACAGGGCCAATGCCAAACTCGCGGAGGGATAATCTCACAGGAAAAGGTCGACGAACAACATGGCAATCAGTTTGAGCGCGTCGATCTTCTGTTTTTCTCTGCACTCTCTCGTCCGCATGGCACTCTGTGGTTGTTGTGACTTCGCACATTCCAGCTTTTCACGGATTATAAGTGGTTCACCCACCTCGGAGTCCCCTCCCCTTAAAAAACCGCATTTTCTGGCTCGCTACATGCTTTTTGCACGTTCGATGCTTTGACAGCCGCTATCCTCTGTCTGCTTTACTTGGTTTCGCAACAGGACCACGCAAAGAAGTTCAAGTTGTCACGTAATAGGGAAGACGTACCTCAAATGATTCCCCCCCTCCAATCAAGTTGCCGCTAATAATAGGCCCAGGTCCAAAATCAACATGCACATTTTTTGTTGTGCGTTGAACTCAGCTGTGGTGTAATAAGGCAGTTAAGGGAAGCGTGCGGCTGCGCAACCATGTACTGTTCTTTGCTGTCTGCGCTCTCCTGTCAGAGATAGCGTTCGGCTGCATGATGCCCGGCCAACAAGCTCAGAATAAGGAGTATGGCATACGAGAAAAAGTGGGCGACGGTCCTAGTGCTGACCCTCGATGAGAATGAAAAATAAGAATTCAATGAGCGAAAAAGAATGTCCGCACACTTCTCCATTGGTTCCCCACGAGCAACAACTTTGTTGGATCTAATGTTCGATAGCCCGGTAGTTATAAGTAAAAGATGGAACGACGAAGTAAAGCGGATAAGACGTCCCAACGAATGTACGATCGTGGACAAATCGAGTACCCGGATTCATTCCGGTACAGCTGCGGAGTAATCTTGTTGCAAGTACGGACAGCAACATGATATAGGCTTTTCATGAATGGGTGGACCTCTCAATCCTTGCGACTTATTGGATCAAACAGAGCAAAACATAAATATTTTAAATCCTCTTAATCTGAAATCACATACAACAAGCTAACAACACAACAACAAGGGAAGTAACTACATATCAATTTTCTAAACATAGAGAAAGCAGTAAAAGGGGCTATTCTGGGCGGCTTCAGGCGGGCCGACTGAAACAGGTCGACTTCGCGGTTAGACCTTTTTCCCTCGCCTGCGCACGGTGGCTGTCCGCCTCTCGCCAGTTTTCACAAAGCAAGCACGACGCACAGCTGTGTTCGTAGCTTTTTCTTCTTTTGCAACGGACAGTGGATTAGCACACCCTTAAAATTAATAACTAGCTACTACAAAAAAACATCCACTGAAAGGAGCATTTGAAAAAATGTGTAGGACTGGGATTACCTTACACAAAAATAAGGATTCATGCCTGAGCCTGGGAGAAAACCAGCTCTTTAAGGGTGGGAAGCAAGTTGCAGATAGAGGTTCCACACTGAGTAATCCACCCCCCCCCCCTGTCCCGAGGCATACTTTGGGTAGTACTCCCTGACAGATTTATCGCGATACGATACCTTTAAACGTACCTTTATTTTCTTTTTCTTCTTTTTGACGTTTTGTTCACCCAACACGGCAGCTTTGATTGCTTTCAAACTTTCCAGCTCATTTTTGTGTACGTCATCCGCGGCAGCTTTCGAAATCCAAAATAAAATAGATTATGGTCCCATTTCCAGTTACGGTGGCAGAACCCGACAAAACACATACAAAACGATAACTCCTTACCTCCGATACTCGGTCCAGTAGAATTGCATTATATTTTATGTAAAGGATAGGTGTACCAGCAACAGTACGCAACTTTTCCGAGAGCGAATCATCCTAAAAGATGAAATGAGTAAGCATGGGCGGTTCCCGGTATTCCAGTGAGCCAGAACATCTCAAGCAGTCCGTGTTGAGCACGGTAATCCCGATCCTGCACAAGAGGACCTTCGAAGTAGATTTCGTCGGTTGTTCTATTAGTAAATTTAGTGCTGCCAGGTGCGAAGAAACAAAGGAGAAGGATTTTCGTCAAAGTCTAGGGAGGGAAGAGGTGCTGGATGGGTGAAACAAACCGGGAATGTTTCATGAAAATGTTGGTCCAGATTTCGAAATGTCCAGAGTTCTCCGCACCAAGATGCCCCACCGTAGAGAAAGGCCCCTGTACAAGTCAGTGTTCTTATCCTGTCAAATGAATTTGGTGCCGAGTTACCGTCCTCGGAGGGTAAAGGGCTTGGTTGGCCTAGGCGGGAGTTGATCCACGATTCAACCCCCAGCGCGCGGCGTGCTAAACATGCCACTTGCCTCTGCACAATCCCTCTGGAATAACCCCTTTAGAACATCTACATGTACTGAACAATACAGAACAAACCCTGAACTGTTCGCTATAGCCTCAATAAAAATGCGACCTCGAAATATGGCAGAACCATAACGAACTTACATTAGTGGCAATGACGTATTTCGTTTTCCCTTTAGTAGCACGACGGGCAAGATGTGCGAGGCACTCAGCAGCTGGACGAGTTGGAGTATGCGGACAAACGTCCACTTCAAACTGACGAGCAATAACAAGCGCTCCATAAACAGGGGAACCAAGGCTCTCTGAAAAACTGATTTTGCCGAAAACGGGCGGAATTCCAGAAATACAGGGGGGGGGGCAAAAAAGACACTTCGACCGAGTCACATATCAGCAAAGTTTTCGCAGCCCAGACAGAGGACGTGGATACGAGTACCAGGGCGG